TCTGGAACAATAAAAAAAAAAAAAATGCGTGCTAATTTTTTTTATTTTAAAATAAAAACATAAAAATGTCAAGATGGAGAAATGATGGACAAAAAGTTATGATTTTTGAAAACTCATGTTTTTGGAAAAATATCCAACACTTGGTTCAATTATGCGACTTGACAGTTATTACAGAAATTCATAATTTACTTGTTAGTAATTTAAAAAAAAATCTTTTCATTGTTACAGTTTGAAAACTGTATGGCTTCTATTTGTCTCTCAGAAATAGGAATATATGAGTAGTATTGAGTTCTTTGAATAGATATAGTGGTTTGAGTTCCTTGAATGGTTATAGCTCTTGAGTATTGTTCGTTAAGCTCTTATTTATTTGCTTCATATTCTTCAGTAGTTGCATAACAAAAGAAAATTTGAGTCAGTTAATCCTCGTTCCGCGTCTGAGCCCAATCGTATAGTTCCTTTGCATTTTTGATCAGATGTTCACCTTCTCTAGCTAGACTAGCTTTGGTAGCCATACGATTCAGTGTTCCTCATATAGCATGATACATATATATCATATCATCTTTCGGAAAAAATATTATTGGAACTGGAGAACAGCGAAATACATTCTTAATTGACCAAAAACTACCAACATAAACCAAAGTGAATAATAATGTGAATAAATTAAGTCGAATAAATAATTTAACCAAATTTTAGATATTTTTACAAAACCTTGAGTTTTTCAAAAATCATAACTTTTTTGTCTATCATTTCTCCATCTTGACCTATAGTGGAATAGGTGACATTAATTGTCTTCTAAAACAAATCTAAAAACATATTTAAAAAATTCCTTTTTGAGAAAAACAGTTTTATGTGCAATTTTTTTTTCTTCAAAAATCATAACTTTTTTGACCTATAGTGAAATAGATAGCATTTATTTTCCTCTAAAGCTTATCAAAAAATTAAAAAGTACAAAAAATACAACCATTTTTGAGAAAAAAAACTATTTTAGCTTTTATTTGAAAAAAAAAAAATAGATAATTTTTTAGAGTGTATTTTTTATTAAATAGTTCTAGATGTTCCTTACAACATTGCCAAAGGTACCAAACCGAACGTTTTTCGAGTAACAGTTTTCTGAAGATAAGCATAACATTTTTCTATAGGCCCTTTTAAAAATTAAGACTCGATAAAAAAATGGTGATCTGAAGATACAAAATGGCATTTTTGGTCATGAGGAACGTTTCTGAAAATGTTCAGTCAAATAAATACTAAAAAAAAATACTCAAATAAATACTAAAATTAATGGATTTGCCAATTCGACTAGAATCGCTCCCAATCGCATAAAGTTAATAAAAAATACATACAGGGAGTTACCATAAAACATGCTCCATACTTTGTTTGGAAATTTTCTACAACTTTGCTCATGATTCCTCTATACCTTCATAGAAAAAAGTTAGTTTTCTATTTTTATCATGGTAAGACTTATTTGTGTTTCGTCCAAATTGTGGAGAATGTTCGTACAAACAAATCATATGAAGATTCTTTATGGCTAAAATGAAAAGGCAAACTCTAGGAAAAAAAAGTTTCACCAGCAAAAGTCGTACATACAAATCTTCTTAGTTATTTTATTTAATACTCTGAACACGATGTCTTCGGTAAAATGCATAACGGCAATCTTGCAATGTTTGAAAAACCATATCTCAGCCATTTATTGACGAATTTCAAATCTATTGGTGCCATTTGAAACTAAATACTTTAAATATTTATTAATTATACATAGATTTAAAATCCATAGATAAATTGTTGAGCAATAATTATTTAAACATTGCCAATTTGCCGATACACATTTTACCGCAGGCATCGTGTTTGGAGAGTTAATGTCGGTCTCTGTACCGCAATCGAGTGACAATCATCGACGTGCTTACTTATTGCCAGCCATTGATGGCAATCGAATGCAAGGGAGGTGGCTTCCACATCTGGTAGATATCATACTCATCAACACATGGGCCGGGTCCAACGACTTTAAAGACTTAACCAGAGATTATTTCACCTGAGAAATATCCCAACGACCTCGGCTGGGATTGAACCTTGGCACACTGGGGTCAGAAAGCAGTCAAATTTACCATTCAACCACCGTCGTGCATACAAATATTGTTGGTTTTATTTGTTGAATGTTACGATATGCACTATTTACGTACAGAATAACATTAAATATCAACTTCGATAGTTCTCGCGTAAAATTTGCAAAAGGCCTATCACCTATTTTATACAAAACTTGTAATGCCCCTAACACGTGAACCGATGCTCGCATGCACAGCAAAAACTTAGTAAATTTACATGTGCCACATTGATGTATTTACATGAAAGTATTAATTTCAGCTTAAATTCATTGAATTACAAATTATTAAACGTGTTATTTTATATTTAAACACCAGGTTGTAGTTGAAATTTACAAAATGTTTTATCTGTGCACCGTTCGAAAAATTCATGTAAATTTCTGCGAGATATAGCACACATTAAATTTTCGTGTAAATATTTATTATTTATATTTCGTGTAAATTTAAGCGCAATATCGCATAAATTAGCAATATTGTATGCAAGCTTGTAAACGATTTCGCTGTTTATGCCAAGTATAGCTCAAAACTAAACGAATGGAGATTATACGAGAGAGATAAAATTCAGATTTTTTTTTATAAAAAAAAACGATTATAAAATCGTTCAGGAAGCGTAATTGAAACACGTATTTACTTTTCAACCTCTTCTTGTAACATAAAAGTTAAAAACAGGGTGGCCAGTGAACTGTCATTTTGAAATTCTCGGTTTTTTCCACGTTTTTCCGGTACAAATCTAAAAATGTTCGAGGTTTTTGATAATTAGTTAAAAACGAAAATGTCCAATGACCATTTGTGGGTAAATCTTCCGCAGTAAAACTACAGGCAGCATTTTGTTAAAGTTTAAAGTATATTCAACTAAATGCGTCACTTGATATATTCAATAAAAAATAGACCTCATGTTTTCAAAGCCCCAGGAATTATTGAGAAACAGACGTTTTTTAAGGTTACTAGGCCGAACACCATCGGACTGTATGGTTCGTAAGATCAAATTGTAAACATTAAAAGATTCATGCATTGTCAGATTCATGTGTCATATGCACATTTTCGTGGTTCTAGGAGGTAGATTCTAGACTTAGAAAAAAAAAAGAAAACAGAAATACAAATGTTTTCATTAATCTAGGAAAGAGAAAAACACTCGAAATGTGAGAATTTAAAAAAAAATCCATCATCTTAGAATTTACCTTGAACAACTATCAAAGCCCTGGGACTTAGAAGAATATTCAGGGTTCCAAAACTTTCAAGATATATAGCTTTTATTCCAATTGCTGAAGAGAATTAAATGAAAAATTCTAAGGTAGTGATGACCAACATGCCAAAACAACTTTGAAATAATGTCCTAAGAGATGAATTCCAATAAATTTCGGTGTAGAAGGAAGAAAGTTGAATTCGTTGGTGATTTTAAGCATAATTTATTGGGAGTCATGAAGAGAATATCAGGATAATTTCAAGGAGGATTCCAAAAGAACTCAGATTGGAGTTCAAAAAGAATTATAAGTAGAACCAAAAAAATTGGAGGAGTATTTAAAAAAAATAGAAAAGTTCAAAGAAAATTCAAACGATGATGGATTTCTGAGCAGAATTCTGATGAGAGTTTTAAGTTCAAAGAAAATTATGATAATAATTTTAAATTGAGATTCCAAGAAAATGCTTATGTTAGGTAAGGTTGGCGGTATTAATGAGACTTTCAGCCGTGGGCTGCGAGTTTCAAGAGAATTCTAACGAGAATTCCAAGGTTATTACGAGTGGAGTTCCGAAGGAATTTTCAGGTAAGTTTACATAGATAACATTATTTTGTTAATTCTGTTATGCTCGTTTCGTAAAAACGGCTTTCGTACACAAAACACATTTTAATAAAACACGTAAATTTATCATTCATCATCATCATCATCAGTCCAGAGCGTGTTTTTGTAAACAAAGAAGTCAATCGCCGATTTCTTGGATATGAAAGCTCAATCTACGAAACTTAAAACACAATCAGGTGTATGAAAGATCCCCCAACCATTTATTCGCGAGTAATTCGGTTTATCTATTTGTTTACCACATATACCAGGGGATACTTCCTTTATATTGTATTCTTATTCCGTGCCCAATATGACTGAATGACACTTCGGTGACGCCGCTATCCACTTTGCAACGAAGCACACCATTTTAAAGATCTTATTTAACTCCCAATTGACTGAATACACATAACACGTTTATTAACAATTTTGTTAAGTGATTTTTAACTACCAAGAAGTTAGTTTTAAATTTTGGCAGACATTTTGACACGCTTTTTTCAACTTATAATTTCGAACTGGTATTAAGCAGAAATTAACAGCTAAATGATTGAATTTGAATTTTAGTGAAAAATACCAGTTAATAGAATAAAAAAATACATAATGGTTAATTGTGCAGTTATGAATACGACAAATAATGTTTATACAATATTCGATGCATTGATTCGAGACTCAAAATTCCTGGGAATGTTGTACATCTCAAGGTTTGAACCATCAAGTCACACATTTCTAAACAAAAAAGGAAAAAGTTGTCCCTACGTACGATTCAGCATGCATTGAGTATCAATTTTCTCTCAAACCGGTTTGAAACTAGAATACACGAAAAAGGGAAGCAGGAAATCTTATAAGACTACCTCGAATCTGTTGAGACGGCTCAAAATAGGTGAGAAAGAAAGAAAAAAAAAACGCAAGGACCTTACGATATCTTGCAACGAATGAGGCAAATCGTATACTTCGAACCCTCGCGCAAACTGCCCGTTAGGGACGACCAGACGCTCACTGTATGCAAATCGCCAAGGCTGCGGTGATGTTAGGTGGGGACCGCAGTTTTTCTTCACACCAATCGGAAGAAGGAATTAGCTGTTGATTTCTAAAATTCTGTTCTAATATTCAAGATGACCATCAAGTGACCTACCTTGGACTCGTGCATCTGCGCCTCGGTGATGGAAAGCGGCGTCGGTGGGGTGGACGGCGCACTGTAGTGCACTGGTTTCTGATCCTCCGGGTGTCGAAGCTCGTTGTCCGAATTGTTGTTGTTATTCGCGGCAGCGCGCTGCTCGTCCAGCGCCTGTTTGTGCACCACGGCAGCATAATCGATCCGTTGGATATTTTGCTGCTGCCGCAAATCACTAATGTACGGTTTGTAGTCGTGGACGATCGCCGACCGTAGATCGGTCGAGTTGCCCGTCAGAGCGTTCAGCTGACCAAGCATACCACGTTCGTTCATCGACCGCAGTTGGTCGATGGAACGGTGGATGTGGCTGTAGTCTCCGGTGGGGATTTCAGCCATCAGCGGCGAGTTGTGGTAGTCCAACCCGCCGCTGGGCCGGTACTCGATCGTTCTACCCTCCAGGGTGCCGGCCGGGGGATGATGGGGGTGGTGATGTTGTAGGGAGAGAATTTTGGAGCCGTTTTCGCGGGCACTTGGGGTCACAATAAGGTCGGTTCTCTCGGCTAGCGTTCGAGAACCACAGCGGAACGGTCTGCAGCAATGATCACAGATCTCTACTAGAAGGCACCAATTTTCAAATCACGAATCACATTCAACACCGTACGTCGATCACTTTCCGCGGCACATGGATCAACCGATTCTACTACCCCGTTTGTTTACTGTTTACTTCCTGTCTTATCACTTTGAAGTTTGAAAACTGTGTTTATTTTCCTCTCGGTCGATAAACCACCGAAATCGTTTTTCCACCACTTTTTTTTTTCTCGTATCACTCACACCAAGTAAATTTTCCTTCACTTTTTCCCTTCAGATGTCTGAATTTTCTCAGTTGTTTCGGGTTCTCTTCTCTCTAAATAGACAGCGAAAAAAGGGGGCAAAAAACTGCTTTCGAAAAAAAAAAACCTTTGCCGCCGCAAGCTCTCACGTACGACGAATTTTACGACAACGGTCCCACAGCGGACGCGGTTTGACGATGCGGGGGTGGGTGGGAGGACGCTCGTTTTATGTGGTATATAGCGAAAAAATAATTCGCATAACAACAGAGACCGATGACTCAAAAAAACGAACCCAAAAAACGAAGCGGCGCTGCACACGCGGGCAGCAGGCGCTCTTCACTCTTGTACTTGTGCTTTGGTTCTATTCCGGGTTTTCAAAACCCAGCGAAGCGCATAGAATCTCTTGAAAAATCTTCTACAACCGCTGCAGTATCATTCATTGCCCACACGTAGCATTTAAAATCATTCGAGGAAACCGGCGCGCGCGTTCTGCATTTAGCGCGAAATTGTCACTATTCACTTCCGGACCGATGAGTTCCACTTGTCACTTTGTGTCATGACATCCAAGTCAAGGATTCGTAGAACTTTTTCCGCCGTCGCCACTATCAAGAACTGTTTCACTGTTCGGACAAAAAATCTTTTACAATAGAACCTCGAGGGTTTCGAGAGGATTCGCGGCGCGAAAAAATCTACCGAACTCTCGCCGTCGCGCCGTGAAATTTAGGCTCTACAAGTCTACCGCAGCTCTTCGCACAGGGGGCCGAAAATGTGTGTTAATCAGCGCAAGGCAAAAACTCGACTGGTTTTAGAAAAAAGTTTTTGGTCCTCAAACTTTTTAGCATTATAATCTTCCCCGTTCGTTTTGTGTGTGCTCTGCGTGCTGCTTCTACGGTCTGCCTGCCTGCCTCCTCTCGCTCACACTCGCTCACCCAATATACACAAAACACACTCAGGCGCGCGTCATTTTTGTGTACATACATTTTTATTTCTAAAAACTCTTGTACATATGCATAGCGAGTTGAAGTTGAGCAGCCAGAAGCAGCAGTAGCACCAGACCAGCAGCAACAACAAAGCTACGCTACGCGGTGTGTTGAGTTGAGCACGTTCGTTCCGTCCGCATGGACCGTAGGCCGAGTGGCGAGAGAAGTGAGTGAGTAAGCGCGAGTGTGCGAGAGGCTGTGGTATGTATGTGTGTGGCTTTTAACTAAAAAATCGTGGGGGAGAGAGGGAGAGCTAAAAAAAAGTGATCATACACACATCACTCAAGCGAACCACCAGCGGAGCGGAGCATACCGCCTAACCATAGAGCCTATGTAGACGAGAAGCCGTCATAATCGTGTGGCTATGTGTATGCTGGGGTTGACGAGCTAGGGGTGATCATTATGATTTTTAAAGTATTTGTAGGTTAGAAAATTAGTGCATAAGTCATAAAAGAGAAACCTCATACTTTAAACTACCCACTTCCATCCTGGGATTCGTGGAATTCCACCCTGGGCTCCTTGATATCTCACCCTGGGATTCGTGGAATTCCACCCTGGGATTCGTGGAATCCCACCCTGGGATTCATGGAATCCCACCTTGGGATTCGTGGAATCCCACCCTGGGATTCGTGGAATCCCGCCCTGTGATTCGTAGAGTCCCACCCTGGGATTCGTGGAATCCCACCCTGGGATTCGTGGAATCCCGCCTGGGATTCGTGGAATCCCGCCTGGGATTCGTAGAGTCCCACCCTGCCGGCCGGATGGCCTCGATCGGGCGTGGTCTCATTTCTTGTTTGATAGAATAATTTGTCATTTCTAGTCCTTATCATGCTAATTTTGTTCAATTGGAATATTCACTTACGATTTTTTCGGTTGCTTGTGGTATACTATGCTATGCTTTAGGTGTATGATTGGAAAAAAATAATGTGTTATAAACAGAATGACGCACGTTTGATCCAGTTTAGATGACCTTGTTGAATGATTTCGAGGCCGAATTTCCGTCTTACGTAAAAACCCGTCTTACGAAAAACCCAAATCGAAACAATGAACGTCACGTAAAAGTAGATTTTAATGAAGGCCATAGTGCTTTTTTGTAGTTTTTAGTCTCCGGGTTTGAAAGATCAATGGTCTCAGCGACTTAATCTTATATATTCCCCTTGATCTCAAGTGTTATGTTCCAGGTCCGTTCATATTTATAATCACATCGCTTGCTTATCGTGGGTTTGCGAAACTTGTCGTCATCATTGGTGCTGGGTTTGAATGGTTACAACCACTCCTTCGCGTGTGATATATAAGGAGCTCCGTGGCCTTAGAGCGACCGTTTATGCTTACTGAGCAGAACATCACGAGTTTATAATGAGAGAGAGAAGGATTAGTAATTTCCATTTAATTCCACTACCTTATTTGCTTATCCTTGACAGATACGCGTATTTCGTCTACAATGTGCAGACTTCTTCAGTGTCTTGTACTAATACTCGACTCGTCGAGTATAGTCGAGTATTAGTACAAGACACTGAAGAAGTCTGCACATTGTAGACGAAATACGCGTATCTGTCAAGGATAAGCAAATAAGGTAGTGGAATTAAATGGAAATTACTAATCCTTCTTTCTCTCATTATACAGGTATTCCTCTTAGACGCCCACATTCATCAGGATTCATCATGAAATCTCAGACCCGTGCACATTCGTTAATCGCTTTATTTGTTTACTTGGTAAACAACTCGACGTTAAGGGATTTTTTATAAATATAAAGAGCTCGTTTGCAACATTTTTGCTTACTAAGCAGAAGACCATGGGTTCAATCCCAAGCACCTTCGCGTTATAGGATCGTTAGGACATCAATTCAGCTTACCGTTTACCAGAACGAATTCTGCTGCAAGCCCAACCCTTTTATCCTACATCCCAGTGATTCCTCGTGGAAGTGCAGAGCATTTCACGGTATCTAACATAGCGGGTATCACGTCAACAGATTCCTACCTGTCTGTTTGTCTGTGCTGATACTGATGTAATTTTCGAAAAACTTGTTCGTATGATTGAGGATTTCCGGATGCTGAACAAATATGTTCAAAATTTTGTCACTACGCAGAGCAAGTGTGCATGTGAGCGTCCTATTCAGTCTATGAGCTATTCTTCAAAATCCTGATCATTTAGGAAGTAGGTGTCTTCTGAAAATGAGTTCAGGCTACCAAAAGGAAGGCTGGGAGACAGATTAGTGCAAAATAGTGCTTCCAACCCAGGACATCCCGGAAACCTTTCCACGTTTCCCAATTTTTTGGGGGAAAAATAAAAGAACTTTTCCGGAAAAGTTATGATATATATAGGAGAAAATTTGCAGAAACGTCCAGTGACTTGGATCTTCTAAAGGAAACTGAAAGAATGCTCTAGGTGAATTCAGAAGAATTTTGATATGAGAAGCCTGAAAAAAGTTCTCGGTAGTCCAGAAAAAAACATCCGAGGAAATCAGACGACATTTTCTTGCGAAGTCAAAAAAACTTATCAAAAAAGTCGGAGAAACTTCCGGAGACGACAAATAAAAATTTCTGGGCAGTTAAAAACGATTGAATGTAAAATTCAAATTTCATTTTATGAAACTTGTTGAAGAAGTTAGATGAACCTTCCAGTGGAAGTCAAAAGAAGCTACCGTGGAAGCCAGATGGACTTCTGGAAGAAACATTGTAAGAAATCTGGGTAAACAATACTCCCGAGGGTAGTTGAAACATTAAAACACAAAAGATGTCGGAAGAAAAATCGATGGCAGCTCGGAAAATTTTGTCGTTGGAAGTAAAAATATTAAAATTAAGTGGTTAAACTATTTTCTATATGATAATTCGCTATACAGAAGTTATGAAATAAACATACTGATGAATAAATGCTTTGAATTCAACTTATTATCTTTCTGGACTTGTGTGTGTGTGTGTGTGTGTGTGTTTTTTTTTTTTTTTTTTTTTTTTTTTTTTTTTTTTTTTTTTTTTTTTTTTTTTTTATAGTAAGGTTTAGGAAAGCTTCAAGAAGCCTGGCCTGTAGTGAAGGTGGCACGGTGTGGTATCCACTAGTTGCCTAGTGCAGCTCCACTAAAACCCATTCCTTACTCTCTCCTCTGCCTGGATCCCCCCGGGACCACTGTGAAGCGACTACTTCGGGGGGTGGCTGTGCTCATGCACTTGTCGTACTCTCAGCGCTAGCTGGCGTTGCTAGATCGCTGCTCTTCTCTCCATTTACGCTGCAGCTCTGACATAATCTGTGTGACTGCCCTGCTGACGGCATTCCAAGAGTCCTCCTCTCGACACATTTCATCAACGACATTCTCCACGTCAAGGACGGGCATCTCCGTTCGCACTGCCTCGAACCTTGGACAGTCAAAGACCACATGCTCCGGCGTTTCATCGACGTTGCCACACTCCGGACAGAGGGGTGACGCTGCGTGTCCGAACCGATGCAGGTATTTCCTGAAGCAGCCGTGGCCAGACAGGAACTGCGTTAGGTGGAAATTGACTTCTCCGTGTTTTCTGTTCACCCAGGTCGAAAGAATCGGTATTAGTCTATGTGTCCATCTACCGTTCTCCGCCGTGTTCCACTCCTGTTGCCACTTAGCCAATGACTCCACTCTCACAACTTTCCGTACTCTTCCGGCTTCCCTCTGCCTGTAGCACTCGCTGTCCTCCGCCAGGGTGACAGCGAGTGTGTGTGTGTGTGTGTGTGTGTGTGTTTAGTCCGGGAGTTAGAAAGTGATAGCTCTACTGCAGATCCAGCAACCCATTTCAGAATGCCTGGTAATTCACGTCCATTCCGAGGTTACTTTCACATACAATAAGCCCCGCATGTAAACACTACCGTTATCATATGAATAATGGTACTGCAAACACACTTCCAGATTTCGAAATGTGATGTTTCGAAATCTGGTGCGTATTTAGTAATATATGGAAATATGCATTTATGATTGATTATAAATCAGATGGATCTCACCAAATTCTGCCTCCGAAAAAGGGCCGGTTTGTTCACTCGGGGTAATCGAAAAAATCTTCCGCGTTGTTTTTACAACCCAACAAGACATTTTGAATCACATTTGAAGTTTTTCATTTGCACCGAATATTTGCTTGACACCTCATTCGCGTGCATCCTCCAGAAGGCAGAACGCTAGCACCAAGAAAAGAAAAAAAAAACCCGGTAAAACTCTTCTTGGGAGGGAGGCAAAGCACCAAAAACAAGCGAAATGAAAAACCGACCGACGCGACACCACAGCAACACAGCTACTCGAAACAATTTCTTGTCCCAGATTTTTCACGTTAATTACAATATCACTAAAAAACTTCTTAAGACATGATTGATCTTAATTTACACTTATCCACACGCGAAAACTAATATTTGTTTGATTTGGTACAATTAAAAAAAAATGCAAAAAACAGATGAAATCAGCGCCAGCGAAAACAAAACCAACCTGACTACGAGCTTTTGCTGTTATATTTAGTCGTTTGGTGTTTTCCCTTCTTTTGTAAATATTAGAGTGGCTCTCAAAATAATTGGTATTGAAAACTTAACTATTTTACTTTTGAAGATATGAACATATTTTACCCAGCAAAATTGTAGTTG